AACGGCTGGACTTTGAGGAGTTCTTCTGTCTCCTTGTAGGATCAGGGGAGGCGGAGTCAGTATCAGGTGAGTCTGATGCATATGAAATATTCTTAGGGCGGGCTCTTAAAGTTCTTGGTGACATTGTACAATAAGGTATTGATGTGACTTATTTTTCAGAGGTGTATTATGGGAAAGACCACTAACTTATGGGGGTTTATATATTCAAAGAAATTCCTCTCTATGTTCTAGAGCTCCTACCGGCTTACTCTTTCATTTTCTCTACATCATATCGTCATAACTTTGTCATTGCTTTGCATCATAGAGGTATCATACAATAAGGCGGAAAATTTCATTTTTTTTCCGGGGACATATCTGTCCCCAAACCGGGCTTCTACGGTCCATGGGATACTACAAGTAGTGATAGGTGCTTCTGTCTTATGGGTAAGGGCCCTATGATCACTTGTGACATTCTTAGTATCGAGTCATCATGACTACCTCGGGATACCTAGGTATCAGTATATTATCTGCGTAAATACTTATTATACCTCATAATTGAAGTTATGAAGCTTCGGCAATGGTGCATGCACGTTTAATATGCCTTCGGATGAGCCTATTCGGCTGGAACTTCTAAACGATAAGGTAAGCTGAATTGATTAATAACTTTAAGTTTGATATCTTACTCAGCCCATGTGGCCAGAAAACATCTACATAGCTTCAAACTATTGTGTAGTAAATATTCAGTGGCTCGCTTCTCAATCTAGGCCCAGATCACTTGCCCTTATTAGGGTGATATACAAAGCCACGTCTCTCATAATGACCAGCGATATGATCCAACATAAGCCACAGTTTCAGAGATACGTCTCCTCTTTAGGAACAGGGCTACTAACTGTCAGAAGACTGCGAAGTCAACGATGCATGATGCCGCCAATGTTACCTGAGCGTTTCGGCATCTTGCTGATTACACCACGCACCCGATTGCGCAGAGGTTTTGATACTTGTTTGGAAGATGAGGCTTCCGGCCATCGTTTGTGGGTATAGTACCGCCACTGGTTTATGGGAAATCCAATTTCTCTAGAGCGATTGTCCACCAATTGAGGTACTTCCAGCTAGCAAAACAGAAGTTAGAAGGTATAATGAGCGTAAACATGAAATAAACATACCTATTGCTGCCTCTCAGCTGGTGGGCGAAGAGTTTTGGCGCTAGGTATCTACATAGAAGTTCCTTAATTCTCAACTCTTGATTGTGTAGGAAGATAGAACTTAGATCTCATGCGTGGAGGATGGACTCTGGTCATTCTGGTTCGCTTATCCACCCCCGAAATCGATTGATAAATTTTCTTATCCTAGAGGCACTGACAATCGGATACCAGATTGATTGTTCACTAAACGCCATTCTTACCTTGGAAGGAGATGTACTGCCATCTTCTATTGATCACCACAGATCACTATCATCACTGTTCCCTCAGTATGATTGGGAATGCAAGCTCCTAAAGCTATTGCGTAGCTTCCTGATAGTGGCGAGGCATATTTACGGGTGCATTGCCTTTTTAGGAACTGGAAAGGTAAGTTGGTGGCTTGAAGATGAGTATTCGTTGATTAGTTGAACTATACAGAAATTCGTAGCTTTCTGTAGCTCTCCAAATCGGTCTCATGTATCAGAAGCCTCGGTTTTTCGGCTGAACACTGAGGATGGAAGGAGAATCCCGACAGTGATATCGACTATAAGAATTCACCTATCCCCCCGAACCAAAGACCAAACACACACTTCACTTCATCAGTTCACACAACAACACAAAACCACACAAAGCCCTTTCAAACTCCCTTTATAAACTTTCAAAACAATCACAATGTCTGCTGCCACTGCCCCCGCTGCCGGTGATATCATCAGAATTCCCGCATACACCGCCGAGCTCGAGAAAGACAACCGCCGCATTACCTGGAGTCAAACCCTTATGGAAAGATCTGAGATGTACTACACCGTCCATGCCACCAACATCACCAAGAACAACACCGATGTCATTCTTTTCGTTCAGGGCAACTGGTACAATTCTGGCGCTAGTCCTGCTGAGCATGTTTCGAAGATTGGCAAGGCCGTTGGTAAGAAACCACTCAGAGCACGATCATGATCATCAGATCGTTAGATATCATTCACTAATTAAGCATACGTCAAAATAGATGGCTCCTATGAAATCAAGCTCGATGCAAGGTTCCAGTATGGGCAGAAGAACAAGGAAGGCGAAAACCGCTTCCTTGTTTACCACAACAAGTCCAACAAGCCTTATCAGGTAAATCTATTTCCAAAAACCCCGGCGATAAGTCTGAAGAAATTGGCTAACACTGATATAGCACCGTTTCATGGCCACTCTCATTCAAGGCCAAGTCGCAGAATGGGCCAAGAAGCTCATCCCCGTTGCACAGGCCCAGGATGGCTTGGCTTTGATGACCTCTCTCTTCGGTGACTACTTGCACACCTATTAGGATGTCAATGATGGCGCATATGTTTGGTGGGCTAGTAGCGGGGGGGCGAGGATATGATTTATGGTACAGAGATTGAGGATGGTATATGCCTATGGGGGAAGATTGAGAGATGATGGGATCTCGGGAGATTTATAAAACTGGTAGTTAGGAATCCGGAAGCTTGATTACCATCTTTTGTTCCTCGTGATGACCACGTGATCGAGTGACATTCTGTGCTCCGGAAAATTTTCATATTCCAACGATATTACTACTTCAACAACCCCCATACTAGATTATCTTTAATCTTTTAGACCGTTGTTTTGCCTTGTTGGTTATAAGAGTACTTGGTCAAGGAGAATCAAAGATTTTCTCCGCTCGGATGCTCCCATACCTATCTCTAAAGCGTCCCTTAATCTTCATTTATACTAATTATGAATGTCAGGCAGCGGCGGTTCTTATTGTATAAGATCTCAAAGTTGAGGTTACGGCCGTCCAATTTGCTGAAATATGCACAGTATATTCACCGCATCGACTTATCGTAGGACACATTGCTTGCGGGACATCCTAGCAAGGCAGGATAATATTACGTACTGTGTTCAGTCTTTGCAAATCAAAGAGGGCTATTAAACGCAGTCCGTGCAGCCAAACCAAATGTAGTCACAAAATTACGTGAAAGATGTTCGGCACAAAATGCTCTACCGGCGTTAGGTATTTTTCACTGTGTGCGGCAATTAAACCCTTGTCTCTATCGCTCATGATTAATTGTGACCTCCGGTTAATTGGTTGCCGGAAACGCGACTTTGAGCTGGTTACCAAGAAAATAACGCCATGAGCTTTCTGATTCGCCCTCCACAAGCGACCAAGCTATCAGTAGACCTTGATTGTCAGCATCGACAGCTACAGCTAATAATATCGTAAGAGCGTATGCTTCTTTTATAAAGGTCCCGTCAATACTGACAAAATAACGGGAATGTTCAAAGGATCTTCTGCAGGCTGAAGGTGAAATAAACAGTCTTTGAAAGCGTTCGGTACCTTACCTATTTGTATCAATTGATAGATGTATATATGAATCGGGATCAGCATATCAAATCATGTCAAAATATGCTGGCAGTAGCTTGAATTGCTGAGAATGTGCCATAACCCTCCCTTTAATTACGTATTTTTAGAAACCTTGGCTACTTGAAGTGATATTGTCTTTTTCCATCTAGCCGTATCGCCTCTTGAATAGCGCGTGGTGTAGTACTGGGTCTCACCTGATAAAAATGATATTGTTTGATTGAAAGTACGCTGCTAACACCTAAGCTGAACAGGACGAAGACATGAGACTAAATAGAAAATGCGGACAAAGGAGATAAAGGAAATACTCTATCAAAGAGGTCCGCTGCATGACATATCCGCTGCATGACGGGTTCGTTCCATGAAAGGAAAGGACAAGAGTTTCTCTACCGCATTCCATCATCACCGAGATTGTATCAGGGAAAATTGGTTGTATCCATGACTCTTTTGATTCAGGCCCCCGTTCTGACTTCTTGCTTCCGAAGCAGGTATGGATGCCGTCTATAATGTAACAATAATGCAGTCATGCCTTGGAAAGTAATTTCCACGGACCCGGAAGTTGCAATCCTTGATTGCACAATCATAAACTACTCTCTCCTTATCAGAACGAGCTGTTCTTGTAGCAAATCCATCTGCTATAGCCCAACCAGCAACTGCAGTCTTAAAGTTCTGATATGTTTCGAAGCGCTGGTTATCCTGAAAAGTAGCGGCCATTACTCTATTGTGTGTTCGGTTTATTGGGACAGCACTTGATCAAGCGGGTTATATGTAGGCATTTATTGATATGGTGTCATTTGATATTTACTCGTGGCAGTAGAAATAAGCGGATCGTGAAAGTCCAGATCTAGATTGTGGGTAGATTAAACTTAGCGGGCAGATTGAGCCCGCAACCGATTACGGGTAGATCAAACCTTTGCTCATATATTAAAGTTACTGTATCATAATCAAGAGAGGGATGAATGTTCTTATTAACGTTATATCCGCCCCCAAAATAATAGTGCTGGGCTGCTGACCTCGTACCCAGTCTACTATTTCTGCGAAAGTTGGCGCAACCAAAGCAGAAACTTCGGAAAATCACGTGACTGCCAAGAAGTTTGTGGATTGGTCGAGCTCACCGAACTCCGGCCTAATAATGAATGGCTGAGTCAGCGCAGGTACATACATACTCGTAGTTTTTTGACGTTTCCGGACGCGACCACTATTGCATGCCATACAAAAGATAGCCTTGGCGGGTTTTTTCTGTGTATGCAATAGCAGTTGCGTCCGGAAACGCTGTGAAATTGCGAGTACATACATTGTCTTAAACTGTTGTCGCACAAGGCTGAAGGAACAGCGCATAATTTTCCATGAACCATCCAGACAATGCCGAGGTGGCTAGAGCCAATTGATTGCCCATTCCTACTATAGCTGGGCTTCTCATAACAGGGGGGTAAGTGTCACAGCGTCGACGGCGGTTCATGGGATAACAAGCTTCTTGAAAGCTCTGTCGGAAAAGCACTCATGCAATGTCAGATCCGCTTTTAAAACCATTCAAAAAGGAGCAACTTCTAATAGTCTTCCATCCTGGATCCTGGCGTCAAACTTTGCCCGGAACTGGCGATGAGAGCGCAGAGGTTCAGTATGAAGATTGGCGGAAGGGAAAGGTCTTAGGCAGTGGAATGTATGGCACTGTGCGGCTCATCAGGAGTGTTCAAGATGAGAAAAAAGTGCGTGCAGTAAAGGAGGTTTTTAAGAAGAAGACAAAAACCATACGCGTAATCCAAGAGCTACAGGCGTTGGTCACGCTAAAGAAGGTATGTACCTCGATTGGAAATGTTATATTCAATATGGGTGTATGCCTGTGCATCGCTCGGTTGTTCAGTGCGGACTAAGGACATTGTTATATTCAGTACCCAGAATATTTTGTTCAATTTTTTGGCTGGTGGGAAGACGAGGATTACTTCTATTTCGCCATGGAATACGTTGAGGATGGCGATTTGGTATCTCTGCTCGGAGAAGAGACCAAGCTTAGAGAAACGGACGCACAGACCATTGCAAAGCAGATTTTGAAAGGTCTAGAGACCATGCACGAGCATAAAATCTGTCACCGTGGTGTCAAGCCAGACGTGAGGTCGTCACTCTCTATGGAGCGGAGTGGAGTAGGCTGACATGCAACCAGAACATCCTAGCCATATCATGGTTGCCTGGACCTCTCCGAGTAAAGTTAGCTGATTTTGGTTGCTCCAAGCACGCAGTTGGTACGGATTTACGGTCGACGATTGGCACCTTCGGTTATATGGCACCGGAGGTTTCGGGTTATATTGAGGATCAAGAGACATTACGTACACATATGAAGCGGATGTGTGGTCTCTCGGCTGTGGGATGTATTATGTTATAACGAGGAAGCTTCCGTTGTAGGATATCGCTCGCACGTGAAGTACATCAAAGGACAATTGCCGTTTCCTAGCAATCATTTAGTCCAAAACGGTCTGAGCCAGAGTGGAGTAGATTTCATTATTACGCTTATGAACCCGGATCGAGATAAGAGGCCTAGTGCTACAATTGCGTTGAACCATGAATGGCTCCGTGCACCTACTGAGGAGCGAGATCGAGAGTATCAGTACTAGAGAAGCTTTCTCTTTGTCGCCTCATATTTATTATTTTTTCACTCCGATGAATGTGCTTATCGCTGACTATACATGCTATAACTGTTGTTAGATTCATACCGAATTCCGCTTTTACCACCAGTTTCTATCGATAGCTTTCTTGTAGGGTCCGCGCACCCCCAGAGTGCTACCAAAAGAAGGGGCGGGCTCTACGATGATGAGTTCGTGCACAGTCCAGAGGAAGGCTTAGGTATCACGCTCCGTAACGCCCCTCAGGCCCTGCAAGCATCGTCAAATCCGCCACCGACAAGGAAAAGTGATGATAGCGGAGACACTAGATGGGGGATCTCACAGGCAACAGCGGCCATAAAGGCAGCTGGTGCAGGACAAGTGGGGGGGTTCGAACCTCTCGGGGGCCATGATTCCCCTCATGCTCAACACCCCCAGACATCGTCATATCAACCACCGACAGAGGAGAGTAATGAAACCGGAGACACTAGATGGGGGCTTTCACAGGCAACAGCGGCCATAATGGGGGTAGGTGCAGGACAAGAACCTGTCAGGCTCCGTAACTCCCCTCAGCCCCGCCGCAAATCGCTATATCTGCTACCGACAGGGAAAAGTGATGAAAACGGAAACCGGGGAACGAGGATTCCAAGGTTCACAGCCAGAGAGTATCTCGATGTCACGGACCATGCGCTCCCATCTGAACTTCAGCCCCTCTATGAACTACCGCCAATAGGGAAAAGTGAAAAAATCGGAGGGCCTAGAGGGTGGATTTCACGAGCGATAGCGGTCATAAAGGGAGCAGGAGTGTAAGGAAAGAGGAATAGGAAAAGGTAGGTTAGTATACATATATGAGTGTATTTAAAATCAAACTGGGCAGTTTTCCTTGTTGTCACGAATATTGAGACAAACTGCATCCAAGGTTTGGAAGCTAGTCGGGAAGCATAGTACTTTTAGGACAACCCTGGAGGGTTGACGACTTCCTGTGTTAGCTTAAGATCTTCTCTATATATTTTACCTATATCTGCACCACCTATCCGAGTTGATTCGTGGAGGTGGTTGCCATTGAAACTGTGATTTTACTAGAAACACACCTATATCTACTGCCATTAAGCATTCAAACTAGCCTTGTCTTGGAGTTATAATACCCCTAATTTCTTTGTCTGAACTTTGAAAGTTCTTGAACATTCGCGATCGGGGTCGACAAACATGTATAGAATGACAATTAATGAATTAAACAAAAAAAAAATGTATAGAATGACACATGTACCCCTAACCCTGATATTTTGTAGTCAGCAACGACGGACAATGGAAGAGTGGCGAAGAGGTGAGGGGATTCTTCTATTACTATGTTTATTTGCATTTGATGCTGTCTTGTGTTAACGGTGAACACTGAGGGAGGCACACTGCAGAGGTTGTAGTTTGATACACCAATCCACCCGCACCCCGGCTCAAACGCGTACGTACACGTGTGGATAAAAACTAGAAGACCGAAGAGATGGTGTTCCCGTGTGATCTCTTCCCTGGATAGTTCTCTGAACATCTTGCCTGCGAACACTTATAAGTACCTAAGCTCAGTATCTCTTATTTGGATACGCATAGGCCGTAAATTCACTTGTATTAGGCTAGATGAGCCCAAAGCGGTAAGTGGGTTGGATGCGAGCTGGATGGTCCGCTGGTCGAATGATAAGCTGTGTTTGCATTGAAATAGGGAAAAAAGAAAATTGTCAAAATACTGAACAGTCGTAATTGTCGGCGGATGATCGATATTAACGTTGAGATGTTGTTCACCATGCATGCCTTTCGTTGATTGGGCAAAGACACTTGGTCCCTTAAGGTATAACTCGAGGGTTTGTTTCACTTTGTAGTTTCTGTTTTACTTGGACTGCCACGTACCCAGATAGATTCGATCTAGTCGGCGGTATCCCGATAGTAATTCATTTACCGTATGCCTGTACATAGCTCACAGAAATAAAGTACAACCTCACCATCAAAGCTCAGTATGGGGCTACGCCGGGCATGATACTTCACAATGCCCATACAGCCATATCATTCTATTAGGACAATGACTATATGATAAAATAGTACTTGACCTATGATTTCCACTAGGCCTGGAGTGTGAATTCCTCGTAGTCCACTCTAGAACATCATAATCATCTACCATTATTATTTTGGTAACCCGAAAGCCCATATATATATACCTACCAAGTGGTAAACACTCTCGCTGGTCAGGCGGGTCGTAAACACCAACATTTATAAACACACTATCCCATACATGAATCTTCGCCCAATAGATAGGCCCAGTTATCAACGTTAGTGCTTACATAGGTAGCGTTGATGACGAGCACGGGCCAGAGCACTTATAAATTAGAGGCGGCCGGCGGTGAAGATTCGACTTGGGCGAAGTATGTATAGCACCGGCCTGGTAAAGCACTCACTGAGCCTCATATAAAAAAACCGCATGATAGCTAACCCTATTTCAACTGCTTTCATAACATTAGGCCCAGTCAAAGAACATAACACATATACATGGAACGATGCTTACAAGTGAAACAAGCTAACCGGCCTCATCATGACCACTAGGGAACTATGGATACCCCTGGAGGTATATATATTGAGTTAGAGTTCCGGCAGTATTATATTACTTGATGAAGCTATAGGAATTACGTAAAGAGGTAAATAGCCTATACTCTTTTGGAAAACTCGTCTATGTGTTGTGTCGTTAACTACATGTATTTAGTGGTTTACGAGAGACTAGCGCATACGTATTAACTACTAGTAGTACTTGCAGGCGTTTCCTCGGAGGTCGTTGTTAACATCCCTGCAGGCGGGAAGGATGACATTCATCCCGGCTACATGCCACAAGGCTCTACCCCAGACCAAAGCTTAATTCGACGTCCTCATTCTTGTACCCCCAAAGGGATACCGTATTCATTCGTGTTATCCTGCTAGACCACATGCAGTATAGATATATAAATTTGATAATCTCCAGTCTTGTACAGTGACGTAAGGAGACAGATATAACAGAGCATCACAGAAAACTAAGCAAACATGCGTTTCTCTTGACTTACATACATATATCGGGGTGGGCTGCAGCCTGTTTAGATCTCGTGCGTAGCTAAGATCTCTTGGCGCCAAGATTTGGAAGTGCACACCCTTTATTGGTCAATCAGGAGAAGGCTGGGCACGAGACAGGGCTGCAGCTTACGTCGTATCCCTTCGTCTGGCAAAAAATGCTGCCCACCCCCCAAAAAGCAAATTTTATATGTGGCTTTACTAACAGATCCCGTTATCTCTCTTATCAAATAATAGATCTCCCATACAAATCTAATTCCTGTGTTATAGGGTGGGCAGCATTGCCAGACGAAGGGATACCTAGTACGCCTAATACGGATGTCTCTGTGTTATTTCTAGGCATAGGATTGAATTAAAAAAAGGAGACTCCGGTGCATTAATATTAACAATAATAGAACGAGATGCTAAATTGCTTACACGAAAAGGGGAAGGTATTTGGCTTAGTGATACCAACGTATTGCAATGGCTGTTAAATACGGTATTCCATATCTTTACTTTGTTGTTTAACATAACATGTACATAAGAATTCAGCATCTCTATTCTATTTCTTTCATATAGTCAACATGCACAATATCGTCACTGTACATGTGGGGATTTTCTATGACCCGGATATATAGAGCATTGTATTATAATTGAGTCTTTAACAATCGACGGTTTGTTAACCTCCGACCATTCTGACACCACCCAAAAAGAGAAATCGTACACAATACATTGACGGAAAACGACAGAATTTTGAACAGAAATCAAGAGCCAAAGTCGTTGACGGTCAAGGTTCCGAAGATGTAAAACGGCATATAAATATATGTCCGCCGAGATATAATTAAGAATATTAAAACTTTCGTCCAGCGGGATCTGTTACTTTCTATAGCACCAAATCAGGAGATCGGTACGAGCCACGTCATCTAGTGTGGTTAGAAGTTTAGAGTTTGAGGAAGGGGATTACGGCGAAACTTGAATTGAGAGATCGCACTCTATTAAGGAATGTTAGAGTACTGGAGGTGAAAGGTGGAATTAATGCCTCAGACGCTGAAGCATGAAGGAAATGATTTATGGGAACAAGAGGGTCCAATGCGCGATATATCTCCGGAGGTGTGCTTTTTCAGAGAGCGTGGCGGAATCTAAGAATTCGATATAGTGCCACTACTTAGAGAGTTCCCATTATAATAAATGATAGTTCGTCCTCTGTATCTTCATTGCACTTACAAAACAGGGGTGACTTATTAGTCGATCACGTACTTGGCAGACTTTCTCATGATTAGTTACGCACATACATACTATATACCTATCTAGCTGAATACCCACCTTGGTACTTATATACCCTTACCTCCACATGCTGGCTTCCGACCTGCTCATATATATATAGTTGGAGCATACTCACCGTTAATTCTAGCATCTTTAAGCCGATGGGGTTCCACTCGTGATACAATAATGAGCTCTCATATGCTCACAACTCTTAGCATATTAGAATATCCAGTATATTATAGTATACGTAGTTCCAATCGCAACAGCAAACACTTACACAATATATAGTAACGACCACATATTATCGTACTATTATGCTCGGAGGACAGAGTATAACGAAGTTCATTCTTCGAGTTTGAGTTGTGGAAGATATTAGGAAGTTTACATGAGTTTTACTCCTGGGGTTTCTTTCGAGAAGGTTGTTTGTTCCACGGTTCTATAAAACGTACCTACCAGGGAACTGTTTCCAAGTACTTGTTTTATGGAGGTTAGCACACACTTCTTGGTACGTGTTTTGAGAAATAGATACGGCGTTCCACTCAGTTATCTTATAAGCATCGGCGCGACCATTACTCATATTTCTCTATACTTTGTTTGGGGGCGGTAAAGCTCGGATCGAGTGATACTCCATGATTTACCGCCGGTGCCCAATCATTGCTCCATATTAGACCCCATGTGCTGAGAGGTCGGGATTTTAACTTGAAACAGTGCATAGCGAGTAGTGTCCTCTAATAGCCCTGTAAATGGGTCGGTAAGTGCATCATTTAGTCAACTATATTTCGTCGTTGCGATTAGGAAGAAGTTTTTGTGTAGGGAAAATCGTTTGTGAAGTAGTTTGTTTTCTGTGCTTTTTATTGGGGAAGTATGGTCAGTCAGGTCTTAGTTAGGGAACCTGAGGTCTTCTTAATTTACACAATTTGGTGTAGATCGAGTATCTGATTTACCTATTAGCACTAGAATAAATAAATATATATCAGGAAGGCATTGTGTCAAATTTGATCACAAGGAAACTTTTATAAGTGAAGTAAAGGACTTGTTACTATAGTATTTTGGGAGGCATTGGTATTAAATTAATGAGAGGACGTTAATTAGGAAGTAAACATGAGTGTAATGTTCATGAGAGAAATGGGCAAGGATAGTAATACTAGAACCGTACACTGATCTAGATCTAATTGTAAATTATAAAGAGAACCGGAAAGACAATTATTCCTGATCAAATCACCTTACACTCCTCATCGGCCAAAATCCTCACGCCAACTGTAACAAAACCAAGAATCCCAGAGGAGAACACCAATATGGCAATAAAGGGAAGAACCTTCCTTGTATGTTTCAGTCTCGTACCTAGGTCTAAGAACGCCTCATTGTGTGCCGCCGTCTGACATTGGGGACGAGGTAACTTCATGATTGAATTCCTTAACTACAAAAACGCTTGAAGACTTGGGTTACCTAATATCTAGATAATAGTGCCAACGCGATTTCCTACATGGCTCTGCCCCGGATGAAACTTGGTGAGGACGTACATTATGATCAATGGAGCGATCAAAGTGCAAGCAACGATAGTGCAGAGAGCAGAAAAGATATACCTCTGGGTTCGTGTTTTCTGCAACGGTAAGAACTCGGCCATGATTCTAGAGATGGCAATGAAATACGAGTCATCCAACCTTGATTGCCGTGCCGCCCAATTGGCCATACGCCACCCCTACCTGCCCAACAAGGAGAGGATGATTCGTGCTACTTGCTGGAGCTAAAATACCTTGTGTTGAATTACCCTCTTCCGAGCCTGAGCCACCATATTGAACTAAGAACATGGTGGGATATTGAGGAGTACATAGTAGTGCGATGAGATTCAATAGCGACATCAAGATGTAGGGTACCACAGTTAATGCATAAGCTCCGTATCCCAAGCGATCAAACTGGTGCTCCCGCGCGTGATAAACCTCAATTGAGCCGTAAACAATCTGGGTGATAGCCATTAATGTCTTGAGTATACTGTAATTACAGGAGATTTCGATGTCTGAAGACCCTTCGGTAGCAACTAAACGCACTCTATGACTCGACGTTACTTGCGAAATCATAAGACGTGAGCTTTCCGGGTATTGGCCGTTAATATGACGTTTGGGGTATATCTCTTCAGCACCGCTATGATGGTTAGATACTCTGACACACGCAGAAATAATTTATCAACATACCTGAGCCGAGGGACTACCATACATAGCGCCCCCGCTTTATGAGCGACTTGAAGTGGGTTACTCCCCAAGCGTGGCATGCTGGCCATAGACTGTAAAGCCATTAATATTCCGTAATATGGCATAAATAGTGCGCTCAAAGACATGAATAGGGACCATGATCTACTGTAGCCTGGCGGTATAACAGTAGCTGCGTGTATAACATAGTTGAAAAGTATAAATTTAACGACATCGGTCCAGCCAGTAGGTCTACAAACTAGGTCCCCCTTGCTTCCATTTAGTACCGTATGGTCCGAGGATGACATAGTAGATACTTTCACGCTTAAAGAATCCTTGGGGGGGGGGGGTTGATTGGGACCAGCTCGGCCTATTTAATTAGCAGTAAGTCCACCGAGGGAGATTCTAATGATATTCCAGAATAGCGGAGCAAAGATCATGTTACTCGGAATTTTTGAGATGTTCCAGTTATTTATGCAGTATGATCTACAACACCTTCTGAGTGCTCGATCTTCAGCATTTTTACACTTTCGAAAGTGCATTCCTATCTCACCCACGGGGCCTGATTGTCTTTCTCTGTTACAAAGCATCGTATTTACCTGGGCTTCAGGGTATATGGTGGATAGATTAAGGGGCTGATAAGGGAAGAACTAGGTGGGATCAGTCCGGATGAAACGAGGGCATAAGCTCAGCAGTATAAAATACCTATAGTATGGTGCGAACAAATACCATTTGGACTCTGATCAACATCATCTTTTCCCTACTGAGAAATCTCGCGGCGATGTCATAACTCCTAATTATTGCACCTCATGTCTGCAGATTGTTCCAGATACGATACGTGACATGGAGTCTTTATACGACCAAGTGTGAGAAGGTTTAGGGGATCTTACATCAGCTTATGTTGGTGAGCCTTTTCTTTCTTTTTCTTGTGCTTCTAACAGCGACAGCTGAACCTTTTAACCTAGCCTTGCGTCTACAACAAATTCAGCTATAAGCATATCTGGGTGGTGATAGAGATTCTTCCAGTGAAGGTGGCTGTGAAGAGTTTCGTCAGATTTGTGAGACGGGATACTTTCTGTCATGAAGAAACCATATGAGAGTACTTTAGGCACCGACAGTATACTATCGTAAGATCTTAAGAGGTATCCCTTAAACCGTCAGGCCAAATTAAAATAACAGGATCCTAACGCAATGTGGAAATCATGATGTGTAGAACGCAGAATTTGTGCGTGGGTTGTTGTTGCATCATAGAATCTATCACACATTATCTAAGCACCGAATTTATGATGGATTCTGTCGTTGCTGTTCCTGTAGGCGTTCCAGATATCACAATTTCCACATTACATTAGGATCCTGTTATTTGAATTCGGCCTGACGGTGTAAGGGATAATATACAAGAAATGGTTACAGAGTAGATTCCTATCCAGAGTCCGGGAGAGCCGGTCCGGAAAGTACATATATGAACGAGCTCTTGTCCCCTCCTCTCGACTTACCTTCGAGTTTGATGATTACCTGCAGTTGAATAGGATCATTCCCTCCACAGATCAATAGGTGTCACGGCAACTCAAGATCGGGAGTTGACATCGTATGTAGGTTCAAAATATTGTAATCCTTGGTACTTGAGTGCCCGTAAATTCTAAAACCAGTATGCAATCGTTCACCCGCTGGAAACTACACGGGTAATATATTTCACTGGACCTAGCCTAAAGAATCTTTGAAGGTGGAGGACCTAACCTATGGGCCTAGCGTACCCGAATTAAGACCCTGGCTGACCTAAAATGGGGAGACCAATTGCGAAGCCTGGTGACAAATTCTCCGTAGAAAGTCTAATTCTCCCCCGAGCTTCTACCAGGTATGCACCATGTGTGCCACCCACGTAAAACCCAGCCATTTATTAGAGATTCAACTGGCTACATAGGAACAACTTTATCAGGGAACGGTTAACCTCTAAACATGCAGCAGGGTGAAAGAAGAGATAAAGATACCATATACGAAGCTTTTTGTTGGAGTCTTGGCTCACAACTGCTCACTCGATTTTCCCAAGTCTCTCTCGGAGCAGGGAAGACAAGAGCAGACCAGTACCCTCATTTCACATGACGAAATAGTAGGCACTCATCTCGTCTGGATAAACGTAGTGGGGAATGATAGATCATGGTTCGTTGATCATTGACAGGAGCGGGAAGAGAGTTGTAATCCTCGTCCTCAAGGGGGCTCACCCTAGCGGGGGCTCACCCTGGCGGGTGTGTTGCTGTATCTATATCTCTTTCTTTCCTATCCTTCTTACCTTCTAATAAATCATCTATCTATTCGTGCCAACAGGGAACGCTAAACCGGAGGTGGCGCATATGCTCATATATACATATGAGGCACTAGGTTATAAGCTGCTGATATATACAGGGGATATGTTACAGACACTACAGGCTGCGGCTGAGTAAACGGGTATATTCCGGAGATACTTACCATTATACCAGCTGGTAAGAGATTGCTCTAGCTACTAATCTTATTAAAGACCGCAAGCTATCCGGCCGCCCTTGTATTGTGAGCGTTACGATTATATATTGTTTAATTCTCGTTTCAAGAACTGGACCCTAGCTAGCTAGTCTAGAGTCTAAGCTATACTTTTTAGTTTAAATTCTAGCTTCTTAGTCTGAGTTTTGACTTGCGTGAATTGAAGCGCAGATTCTCTTGATGGCAGATCCTCTTCAGAGTAGACGAAAGTTCCCTTAACTCATATATCCTTCCACCTACCTTTATGTACCTACAATCTAGAAGACTGTATAATAATTTAATTATGTATGGAACGGGTCTGTTTTCGAATTTCAAGCGGCCATTAAACCATATAAGCTTCTAATAAGCCAGATATTAGCCTATTTTAGGACTCTCATACATAAGGCCGCACTAGCGGCTATTTTAACAACCGATTTTCTAGATAAGGTTTAGAACAAGCTTATCTGGCTCTATCCTTTAATGGCGGAGTGATGTAGTATAGGACATGTAGAGCGACTGCCGTCGTCCCGTCGCCATGATCAGCCATATCCGGTAAAGCCCATAACCCGATAAACTTTAATTCGACACCGTTACCCGTGATCAAGTACGGCGTTGCCAAACTATGTACATGTACGTATCCAATTTTTACAGGATAAACTTTAGTTAAGGCTGAAATGATAAGACGTTGTTGCTTATAATAATTGGGACCCAAACCTTTATATACACCGCATTGATACCCGGCACTAGCATCGACATAGGTACATGTACTTATTCATCAGGCAGCCAGCTCTTGCCACGCAAACAAAGATCATCGCCGCTTAATCTCGATAACCCAACTCGTTAGACCATCTTTCCCAACGGTTTTGTCCCGAGATACGAGACGAAACAAAACAGAAAAGGCCTAGTCTCGAGACTTTTCGAAATATACGAGTGATTGTCTGTGACCTTGATATCAGGGTCAAACTCTACAGGTTTTGCTGGTTTTCCCCCGAAAAAATACCCTCGTGTAAAAAACCCCATTTTGTGGAAAATTCGTTGTGTAAAAAGATCTTACCGTGTATGAATGATGACCCAACCCCTAACCCTAAGTCTCCCGCACACAGCCCTCCTTCTGTAATTCACGAAACATCCTCAAGTATCGTCTTGTTTTGTATTGTGCCCATCACTAGGTTTGAGTCCGATATCCTTCAATCACTCCTATAATTAACATGTTTCTTGCGATCGAACATGTCAATAAGAGGGGATTTTCATTGTTTTCATTTCCCGTAAAGATATCGATTAGTAATCAGAAAGTCTCGTCACTCTAAAAATTGATCTTTTAAATACAGTTTCGTAGGATGGGTCATTACTCAGCACCATTGCTCAGTTCTTACTTATATATATATCCTATGATCTCAACAAGCTTCTATCAAGGTCAAGAGAGAGAGTGCGCTCAAAAAGGAACACGCGTGTAGGCCTTAACGCTTCGCTGGTCACCACTGGATACAGGCTTTGCAAATCAGATGACTACAATGAGAGGATGGTCTCAGGGCTATGTAAATAAATAGATGGTGTCTTCTTGACATTCGATACTTAGTACTGCATGCTCCAGCTAGTAAAAATCAGGTTAGGATAAAGACCCCCCTCCGCCTTCGGGTATAGATATATACAAATTACTCTAGCTTAGCTGGTATGAGTAGTAGAAGTACTATCAGTAGGCTCTGTGATCTACGTCTCATTCCCAAGGAAGAATGCAATACTTCAACCACGCTCTGAGCATACGGCTAATGAGTTAAACAAAAAAAAAAAAAAAAAAAAAGAACCACGTTCTGATATTCAGTCCAAAATGATCACTCGAGCGAGTGATTAAACATGATTCCCACTTGAGAATGCCACGCAATTACCCACAAATAATTTTGTAATTTGGATACACTTGATGTGTGCAATGCAAAAAAATGCTGAATAGTCCTAGTATTATGTATCTACTTTGATCTTAGTTTAATTCACTCCCGATAATGAAGATCTAACTTTTCTTTCGCTATAGGCTTAGAAACTGTATAAAGCTTGGATTAAGCTCGTACCAGTCGTACCTGATTCATTCGTTGGAATTCTCAGTCTATCCAAAGGCTGTTTTAATAGATTCCCCCGGTCAATTAGAG